CTGGTAGACTCCATGCAGCTCAAGCTGGGTGTACCAGGCTGGGCCCAGGCCACCAAATTTTATATGATGATGTGAAATTTAAGGCAAGTGTCTGAGCTGGGCCAGACCTGGGCTAGGGGCTATGGTCTGATTTTTCTGTTCTGGCATCTTTTATGAATTTAGAGGACTAAAAGATTTACCTCTACTGGCCTGGAGCGGTCCATCCTAGCCCAATCCCTTCAATGGACAAGGCTGAGCCACATGGCATAAAAGTAAGGCTGGGCCAGGTCTAGACCGGGTCCGAGCTGGCCCTCTAACATCCCGGGCTGGCCTCAAGTCAACCATGGCCCAGCCATTCCCACCATGAATATTAGTCCACAAAAGTAGGGAGATGATCAAATGACCCATGCTCAATGGGAGTTTAATGAGCCTGCCCCATCCGAAAACAAGCACCATTTGATGTGGAGCCCGTGCCAAAATTGTCGCGAACTTTTTGGGCTATTTTATGAGAAAGAAAATTTTAAAAGGTATTTTAAAAAAAAAAATTATAATAATTAAGGTTTTTATAAATATATATATATTTTTTAAGTGAGATGTGAACAAAAAAAAAACAATTCACAAAGATAGGTTAAAGTCATTTGTTTCTCTCTAGAGTACATAGGGTTTTCCTTCCAAAAATCTCAAAAAGGTTTGGAGCTTCTTAAGTGAAGCTCGTGTTCTCTAATGTAGGTTATGCAATTAAAAAAAGGGTGCGATTTGTATAGAGCCTAGGCTCTAAACAATCAAATCAGATCTACCTTCAAATGGTGTCGAAAAATATGGTTTCAATACTGAAAATATATGTGATAGCCTTAAAATCTATGTTCAACTTTATTTATAAAGTTTAAAGCTTAAAAAATAATGTAGATCGATAGATCTATGAAAACTTGAAAATCTTAAAAATTGACGGTCTAAAAATGCCTTACAAAATACACGAAATCTATTTTTTTCTCATGTCGAGATGATCAATTTGAGTATATTTGGACATCAAAACAACCTCTTCTAGTGTAATTTTTTAGGTAGGCTCAAATTTGATTGTTTAGAGCCTCGGCTCTATATAAACTTTTCCTTTTAAAAAAAATAAAACTATTTTACATGTCTTTACACGCATATAATTTTTATAGGGCTTCAACCTTATATAAAAAATTTTCCTTTTTATGATCACATGTAATTGGACATTCACAGGGGACCAATCTCAATCCTCTAGATGGGAGTGAGCTCAAATAATTTCACAAACTAAAATAAGTTATATTTATCGGATCATAATTAATGAACGACATTATTGTCATTCCACTCACATTTGATACTGATCAAGACTGGATGGATTCATTATTTTTTATTCTTCTCACATTTTTTAAGACTTAATCATTTACTTATTCTTTTTATGAGTATATTTTTATTTTTTATTAGAGTTAATTTTAGAAATTATTACAGAGATATTATTGTGGGAAAGAGTATGATCTATTTTTAGAGAGTTTGTTTTAAAATAGGAAATTTATCTTATTTAGTTGTCAGGATTACAGGAAGGTTATGTTTTGTTTTTTTTCCTTTTTTTTTTTTTTTAAATGAGAGTTCATTTTGTTTTGTTTTTTTTGTACGATAGAAGGTTATCTTATATTTGAGAAGTGAAATTTCTCTTTTAGTACTTACCTTTTAGGTTTTTAAAGCAAACTCTTTTAAAAGAGGGGGGGGGGGGAGGTCAATTGGAATGAGATAGTTTTTGTTTTAGAATGACCAAAAAAAGAAAATACAGTTAACGTCCTCGTGGGTTTTTTTTTTTGTTGTGATGTATGGTTGAGATCTCGAATACCCTTGTTTATGTTCTATTATTGCGATTTTTCCTCAGTTTTTTTTTCTCTTTCTAAAATGCAACTGTATTTGTCAATTATTAGCTGGCAATAAATTTTCAACTTCGTCAGGTGGTATCAAATGTCGGTTCTTGTGGAATCGTGGTGTTTGTCAATAAAGCATCATGGTTGGGGGACATACTAGACGGTTGGGTATCGGGAATGAGCCCATCCAACGAGAACAAGGCTGGGGTACGTACTCGATGGCCAGGTACCTGGAATGAGCCTATCTAGTAAGAACAAGACCTCCAAGTTATTGAGAAAGAAGACTTGGAAATGCAAGTTGAGCTAACCTAGCACTTGGGTAGAACCCACCCAGCTTCAAAGTACTATGATGACAGTAATGAGTCGGAAGTTATATTCGAGAACCCGTTTTATGCATATGCTCCACGTTAGGAGCCTCATGTTCGGGTGAATGGATCATGGGATTTAATTTATATACATGATTTCGAGGAGATCGAGGTTGATTTTGATGTAGGTCATATGAAAATCAGCAGGTTTAGTTTGGGATTCGCCACCAATATTTTATATATATTTAGATGACGAACAAGATCTTGTAATAGATACAATCTATGATGATGATTAAGATTTCATAGTTAAACCAATACTTGATGAAGAAAAAGATGAAGGACTCAATAGAGAATTAATAGGTTAAGTTGGTTATTTCATTGAAAGTTCTCATCTCAAAGATTCTCGATTAGTGTATCGACGGTTTCTTAATTTCAGTACATAATCATTGTATTTTGATCAATGCAATAATCCACAAGTCTCAATATCATGTTTACAAGATTAGGGATGAAGAAAGTTGTGGGACTAATGTGAATTTCATCTCAGTGTATTTCAAAACTCAATGATAAAGTTTTTTCCAAATAGGAGAAGATTTCAAAACTCAATGATAAAGTTTTTTCCAAATAGGAGATGATGCAGATCAAGGATGGATGGATACGGTATTTTTTTTATTCTTCTCATATTTTGGGCTAATTAACCAGTTTCTATGGGTGTATTTTTTTCGTTAGGATTAATTTTAGAAATTATTGCATAGATATTATTGTGGGAAATAGTACGTTTTATTTTTAGAATGTTACTTACTGTAAGCACAGTTGTATGCATTGCATATATGATTTTCAATGGAAAATAAAGCGCCAATGCATGTGCCCCAGCAGAGGGGAGTAAGGCTATGGAACAATTTGGAGTGTTACAGGCAGTGTTGGAAAAATCCAAGTGGTCTGAAAAACCGGCCGTGAATCAGCTGGTTGAATGGGTTTCATTCAGTAAGTTAAAAAAGTATTTAAAGCACAAAGCCCATCCAAACCAAGTAGCAAGTAGTGAAAAACAAATATAAAGCTGAGGAGTATTTTTTAAAGAAATGAAAAACATAAAAATTAGTATCGTTGGCCAGACCGGGGAGTTCCGAGTTGCAGAAAACGGGTGACAGGAGGTATTTATTTAGTGGCATGGTTGAGACAGGCGGCATTGTTTGTCTGTTGTCATTCCCATTCGCGTCCAAAACCAAAAAAATCGAAAGAGAGAAGGGGAAGAAACAGGTGTTGATAAGGGAGAGAGGTTTGGAATGTTGTGTCGGGTGTGAGTTACCTGAACCTCACCTTTAACGTCTTCCTCACGCTTGCTTTACCAAACTCTAAACTTTAACGTCTTCCATTCACTCTCTCTCAAAACAAAACATGCATACTTCTCTCGTGACCAACCACTCAGTCTGATAAAGATAACCCTGTTTTAAGCAGCTTTTGGGGCCACCAATTACTACTAACACTACTCAATAAAACCTCCAAACCACGGACCCAAACCCGACGCTCGATACGTCAACGCTTCTGTAATTTCAGTGTCAGAAATTTTAAAGATCGACTAAACATTTTTTTCATAATAAATTCATAACTAAAAAAATGAGGTCTTGTTTTACAACACACCACACGCTTTTTACAACTTAAAAAAAAATAAAATTCATATATATATATATATGTGTGAATCTTAAGGTCGAGACATCAATTGGAGGGTATCAAAACAACTTTGTCGACAGATTTTTAGAGCGTGCCTTGCGATAAAATTGAGACCCGACCCGATATAAACTTCTTCCATGTTTAAACGGCATAGGACTTTCGTTCCTTTCCTAATTTGGAGGTATAATAGTGCTGGAAGAATATGATGGAGCTCAATACTTTCAAAATGCAATGCCTGAGGATGCCTCCGTCTTTTTCCTTTCACAGTAAGCTAAGCCATGCTTATATTTGTGAACTAAAACCCAATCATATATGCGTGCAATAAAATGCCCCTCCTATCGAAATTTTAAAAAGAAAAGCAACCTTTTTATTCCCGACGGTGTCGTCTGTATAGAGCCGACCCTCTAAACAATCAAATAAAGTGCACTTTCAAATAGTGTTGAGAAATGTGGTTTCAATACTAAAACTTTTTGTGCTAATAGCCTTAAAATATATTTTTATATTTAATTATAAAATTTAAAGCGTCAAAAATAGTATAGATCGAGCATATCTTTGACAACTTAAAAATCGACGGTCCAAAAAATGTATTACAAGATGTACTATTTCCAAAAAACTTGAAATCCATTTGTTTCACATATCCATGTATCTTGATGTTGAGATGATTGATTTGGACATCAAAACAACCTCTTCCACTGAAATTTTTGAGATGCCTACTGATTTGATTGTTTAGAGCCTCGGCTCTATATAAACTTTTTCCATTTATGAAAGAAAAACAGATCATATAATAGATTGCTGTGGCCTTTAAATACACTTCCCTATTTTGATATATTTTCCTCTAAAAAAATAAAATAAAAAAATATTTATAGCGTGGGTGGCCTTTCCAAGAACGAAATTTTAAATTTTTTTTTTACATATACGTAGTGTATAGGTATAAGGAAATCATATATACGAGAGTGCTACTTTTTTACTTCCTTCCCTCCCCCTAGACGGGCAGGTTGAGGTTGGTGTACATATAGGATTCATTCAAAGGTCTCCCTCCAATCCCATGCAAAGACTTGGATTCTTTTGCAAAGAAAAGAAAGAAGACTCATCCCTCTATCCATGATTCTGATTCCTCTTATATCATACTATACTTGGCCCCCCTTCCCCCCCCCCGCCCTCATTCTTTACCTTCTGCGGCTCCGCTTCTCCACCCCCGCCCTCATTCTTTACCTTCTGCGGCTCCGCTTCTCCATTGCAAAAATATTAACGCTTCCATTTTCTCTCGAAAAAGAAATTCAAGCTTGTCACTCTTTATAAATACCCTTCTCAGATTACACCTTTTCTGCAAGAAAACCCCATCTCTCCTTCCTTTCTTCATCTTTTACTACTCCTTTCCACTTTCTTACAACTACTCCTGCTGGTCTTTTTGTTCTCTTTTGGGTTTATTATTGAAAAGAAAGAAAGCCAAAAGGGGTGATAGTAAGATGGGTTCTCGCAGCTCTTCTTCTTCTTCACCATGGACTCAAAGGCAAAACAAGGAGTTCGAAAGGGCCCTGGCAATATTTGACAAGGATACACCAGAGAGGTGGGATAATGTAGCCTCCATGGTTGGTGGGGGTAAGTCAGCAGAGGAGGTTAAGAGACACTATCAAATACTCTTGGAAGATTTGAAGTGCATAGAGTCAGGCCACATTCCCTTCCCCAACTATCGGCAACCACCAAGGAACAATATGGACACCCCCCACCACCAACACCAACAGCAGCAGCACTTTACCAATGGAAAATCGTCCTCTGCTTATACCACCTGATCATGAGGTAAAGGTACCTATTATCTGTTTGTTCTTCCCTTTAAAAAGCGCGCATCTTGTTATTTTGCAATGCATACTTGGACTGAAGGTATCTTCCGCTCAATAAGTCCTCCTCTTCTTGTGTTTATTTCGTGGGGTTCTGGTTTTTGGGTATTTTATAAATTAAAATATGCAGACCTTAGATTACTATAGAAGCCGAGGCACCGTACCATCAAATCCAAGGAACCGCAAGCTTTTCTTGCAAAAAAAATTGTAAGTTGCTTGTTTTTTATAAGAAATGGTGAGGGAATCAAGGGGAGGAGGACCTGGGTTCTTATTAGCATTTTCATTATTATAATAACTAGTTGGTTACCCCATGACACTAAAAAAACCAACTGGGCCCATGTATTCTTACTAAAATCTTTGTGGTTACTTCATAGTGCAGGCAGGCAGGCGGGCGGGGAGGCTTGCTTGATGGAGAGGGTAGTGTTGGTGGTCTAAGAATGGAGGAATATCCCGCTAATCTTGAAAGAAAGCCGCAATGAAAGTTAAAATGGCAGTGTGTAGTTGTTTTTATATTTAGTCGTGATCTGTAATTTCCCTTGTCCAAGTAACTCTTTGTTGGGCCTCTCACTGTATTGTAACCTTCAGAATAGTAGTAGTACATGAAATCTTTCTCTCTCAAAGACTCACCTGCCGTGCCGCAACACACATTTTTCAATGGTCCCTCCCTCCCTCCCTTAGAATATCAGCACTATTCGTAAAATTGGAAAGGAGGTGAGAAATAGTAGCCCCTTCAATTCAATGCTCATTCATAGTGAAATAGTAGTTCAAGTTCAACGCATAGCTAGGTCAGGTCTACCCAAATTTCAATATTTGCATATGTTCGCATTTAGTGCTATTCTTAATGCTTTTTCCATTTCCATATACTATGTATGGTGGTAACCTGCATGCCAACTCATGTTCCCAAACAAACACCTATGTATGCCCCTCTCTCCAACACTTAATTGCTCTCGCCCATCCACAATTAAATAAAACGAGGAATTATCATCTCTCCCTCATACACATCTATAAATACTTGCACCCAAACTTTCAAAGGTGAAGGCTTTTTTCAGTAGATAAACAGCAGTCAAACTCTAGCCCCATTCCCTTCAAGGGCCATAAATCTCCCCTCTGTACTTGGCAACAGCATGGTTTTAAAATTAAACATTCCATTCATTTTTTGATCAATCAAATTAAGGAACTCATTTATCGTGATTGAAGAATAGGCTAAATTGACAAACTCTCCACTCCAAGATTTGGGCTTGCAAGAAAGCAAATCCATTGATCCCTTTCAGCCTCGGTCACACCGGTCGGGCCGGTTGAACCCGTGGATTCAGCATGATTGGATGCCTGAATCGCACACGTGGTAGGTGGAGTTCAGGGTCAGGGTTGAGGAGTTCAGTAACGCACATTACTCCATGGATGCCCACGGAGTCAGCATTTTTGGATGCCTGAATTGCACACCTGGTAGGTGGAGTTCAGGGTCAGGATTGAGTTCAGTAACGCACATTACTCCATGGATGTCTGAATTGCACACCTGGTGGGTGGAGGAGTTCAGGTCAGGGTTGAGTTCAGTAACGCACATTACTCCATCGGGCGAAAGAGTTGAGTAACGCACAATGGACCCACTTCTTTTGCGAAGCCCAAGTGTACACACACCTCCTCCATCCGGTGAAAGAGTTCCGTATACTCCGATCATAAATTTTGGGATCCTACCAAGAATCACCGCATGATTATGTTTTTAATAGAGTAATTTTGATTTAGTTTTTTTTTTTCCTAGCATTCACAGAGTGTGATTGATCCTTGAGTAGAAGACGTTCCATCTCAAAAATTTAAAAAAGTGCTCCTACATTATTGAGTTTTATTGGAGGGGGAATGAAAGGAGAAGCAGCAGGAGATCTTTTGAGCTTAAGAAAATTCCACATTCGAGGAAAAGAGGGAAGAGTGACAATGTGTTTGCATAACCCATTGTAATATCTTGGAAGCATTCACTAGACAAATTTTGCTCCAAATTCAATGAACAAGGATAAAACTTACAAATAATTTCAATATGAAAATCAAACCATTGCTAGTGATCTGCAACAAAATTCAACCATTAGAGAAGCAGGATCTTTGGAGTTCTGAAAAATCCACAGTAGAGGAAAAGAGGGCAGAGTGACAATGTGTTTGCATAACCATTGTAATATCTTGGCAGCATTCACTAAATAAATTTTGCTCCAAATTCAAAGAAAAATGAATTGTACTCCAAGGATAAAACTTACAAATAATTCCAATATGAAAATCAATATCAGCAACAAAATTCAACCGCCACCATGAAGTTGAAATAACTCCTAACTATACTTTCCAAGCACGAATATTCACTAAATAAATTTTGCTCCAAATTCAAAGAAAAATGAATTGTACTCCAAGGATAAAACTTACAAATAATTCCAATATGAAAATCAATATCAGCAACAAAATTCAACCACCACCATGAAGTTGAAATAACTCCTAACTATACTTTCCAAGCACGAACATCCTTCCCAACAACAAACGGTATTCCACATTCTATCCAAAGAAAAATTAAGAAGAAAGAAAGGAAACCCTTATATCTTCTCATAAAGCTGGAGCTTGAGCAGAACTCCAACCCCTATGAAATCCATGATCCCCACTTAAACCCACTCTATAGCAAATTACAAACCAAGTCTTACCCACATAACTCTCCCCCCACCCAAATATAAATAAATAAAGAAAAATAAAATAGAAAGAGATCTCACCCTCACCCTCTTTCTCTCTCTAGGAGTTCAAGCTGGCGATGATAGGAACTATAACAAAGAAGATGAGAGCAAGGAGCAGAATCAACCCAATACACATCCACTTCCTACTGCTCCTCTGGTATTCCTTTGCAGCCTTGAGGTTCTTGGTGCCATCCTTGACATAGGTCGCCGCACTCATAACATGGTGCTCGATGTCATCCATCTTCTCACCCTGAGCCTCCACCATCACAGCCATGTCCAGAAACACCTGATGAAGCTCCAGCAAGCTTCTCTCTATCTCCTTCGCTGCATCATGCCTGTCCTGTATCTCATTTACGGTCTCTAATATCTTACCTCTCCCCTGTTCTGCAATGGCTTTTTGCAAGAAGCTCTCACTCTGTCCACTCGATATGATCTGCTCTATCATCTCTTCGCTCGCATAGTCCCCTGTTACAGTAAAATACCTTCTCTCTACTGTCTCTTTGTACTCTACCATTATCTTTTGCCTGAGAGCTTGAAAATCCATCATCAACTCTTTCAGTTTCTTTCTTAGGCCATTTGTCACTGAGCTCCTTGTCCTGTCAAGTGGGGTGCCCTCTTTGAAGCCTGAGAGTCTCCTGTTTGCTAAGTTCTGCCTATCCAGCTCCTCAAGCATGGTTTTAATGGTTTTTGCCTTCTTTAGAACATTGACGACATCGCTGTTGATCCTATTTCTGAGAGATTTGAGGGCTTCTGGTTTGTGGATTTTCTTTGTTTCTTCGTTGAATTCCTTCAACTTCTCCAGGAGAAGCTCGATGACCTCCATCTCATCCTTGATGGCTCCAACTTCTTTGAAGAAGGGAATTAGGTTTTGATCCGTGCTGCTGAGTTGAGCTTCCATTTCAAGATCAGGACCGGCTTCCAGGTCTTTGAGGGCCTCTTTCTTGAGGTCCACATAGCTAGTGAACGATTTGGTCATCAAATCATTCATTTTGTCGCTTTTATTTTCTTTTTGTAGCAGGTCTGTTATTCCAAAATCCAAGAAAATAGGTTCAAATTTCAATTTCAAAGTATTTGAATTTTATACTGAAATCAAGGAGGAAAAAAAAGCTATTCATACTCTTAAAATAAGATATTGAAACAAATGAAAAATGGAAAAGTAAAGAGTTAGAAAAAATAAGAAGATGAACCAATCCGGAGTTCAAACATTTTACCACCGACCTCAAGCTTAAGAGAGCTTAAAAAACAAAAGATCACTCGTAAAAGAAAAATGAGAGACTTTTGTGAACAATTTGGTTATTATCTTTTTTCTGAAAAAACTCACTCCAAACAATATAAAGAGTTAGAAAAAATAAGAAGATGAACGAATGCGGAGTTCAAACATTATACCTGGAGAGTATTATGTGGCGTGCAGAGAGAGATGCTCTATTGAATTTCTTGATGTCAGTATTTTCTTGTTGGAGCAGGGTCTGTTTTTCCAATCCAAGAAAATAGGTTCAAATTTCAATTCCAAGTATTTGAATTTCATGCTGAAATCAAGAATGAAAAAAAAGCCAGACATTGAAACAAATGAAAGATGGAAAAGTAAAGAGTTTGAAGAAAAACAGATAAAAAGAAAAGGAAGAAGCTGAACCGATCCGGAGATCAAGCATTTTACCTGGAGATTTTTCTGTGGGCGTGCAGCGATAGAGATGCTTCATTGCCAGGGCTAAAAAGATGGGGTTCTTATATGTATCCCAGAAACACACGGGATAAATAGAGCCGTTTGGATAAAAAAAAGGTAAATAGGGCCGTTGAAGACTTCTTTTAAAATATGAGATGAAGCCGTTGGAGACTTTCTTTTAAAATATGAGATGAAGCCGTTGGAGACTTTCTTTTAAAATATGGGATGAAGCCGTTGTAGATACTAGATACTTAGATAGTAAACAACTATGATAACAATTCTCGGGAAAGCTTTCTACGTTCTCGAGAGCCACTCACCGTTTGATCTTTAGATCCAACGTCTTAGATCCAACGTTTTAAAGTATTTTATTTTTAGCTTTTTTAATACAAAATTTTTTAATATGAAATTTGGTATGTGTCATTTTCTCATTGGAGCGCATCTATAAAAAATATGAGAAATTTGACATTAGGACCCTTCCCCACCCATGTGTGTAGGACTCCAAAAGATCACCATTAAATTTAGCACCAATCTATAGAAAAGTCAAGTCTCACACCCATGTGATAGCTTTTCTAAATATCAATACCAACTTTAATGATGATCATGAGGTCTTACACACATGAGCCGGGGAGGGTCATATAAAAACATTACTAAAAAAATATTAACAATAAATTTTCAATAAAAGATAATGACCAAAATACCCCTTAAAATTTTTAAGGGTATTTTGGTCCTTTTATTTTCTCTAAAATATATTTTTTATATTGTTTGTTAATGCAAGTTTAATAGAGAAATGGGCGTCCAAAATTTGGTGTCAAGAGAGTTTATAAAATAAAAATTAAAAATAAATTAGTGTAGAGACGCGACATTGTGATTGGGGCCATCTTAGTCCTCCATTAAAAAATAGACGGTTGAATAAAGAAGAGGATAGAACTTCTATATTGTAGGGGAACATAGAAAGCTTTCCCAACAATAATAATGTCAAACCATCACGGTCAACTAAATTGAAGTATGTAAAATTGGAGACACCGATTGCTACAAACTTATAATTTATAATTTCCTTCTCTAAGAAAGGTTGCCGGTCCGAATAGACTTTTTCCCCAAAAAAAAAAGAAAAAAAAAAGGTATAAAGCTGAACTCTGATTTGGTACCAACCCCTTAGCTTTTAACGAAAACTTTATCCAAATGATACGTATAAATTATTTAACATTTTTGTTTTTGGGGTAAGTCAGAAAGGGAGAAAGCTCCAGTTATTTAACATTTTATTCATACATTTTGATTTACTTGCAAGAATCTCATTCAAATGCACGTGATCATGAGTTTGAGTTAGTATCTAAAAAATTGGATCAATGAAATGGATCACTCACCCACGAATCCCGGTCGGAATGGAACATATTGGTGATCCATAAAATATTAAAAAATAAAAATTAAAAAGTGGGAGTTTTTGGTTAATAATGTACTAAGATAATAATACAAATAAAAAATAAAAAACTAAAGTAAAAAAAAAAAACCCTTTTGAGAAAAAGCAAATTTTGAAACACTTTGCTTGAAAAATGATAACTTGACTGCATTTTTACTATATATAACTTGACTGCATTTTTACTATTTTTACTATTTTTTTTACTATTTGTTTCAAACACTTTGCTTGAAAAATGATAACTTGACTGCATTTTTACTATTTGTTATTAGGAAATATATACATTGACATTGTTTACTATTGATACGCTCAATCATTATTAACTCTTAGATTTGAAATCGAGTGGTTGAATATATATATCATTGTTTAACCACAATGCCTAGAATTTTACTTATCAAAAAAGAGTTTGACTATTTTATACAACTTCCGTATTTATTCATTTATTTTCATCCATTTATTTTCTTATTTTTTCAATTTTTATTTTTCTAAATTTAAATTTATTATTTACATATTTTCTAGAACATGGTCTAAAAAAAGTGATGAACTTAAACTTTTCCTTAACCTGTCCCATGTTTGGGTAAAAAGGCACAATTGTGTTAGATAATAACGAACGTAAAATTTTACCAAAACTATATCATGAATTTGATAAACTTAACCAGGCCTTTAATAGCACAGAATAGAAAATCCAGATTCTTGTAGCCGACCTCAATTAATTAGAAAAAAACTAAAATGATGATAATAAAGATATCTTTTCTAGACCAATTCAAGCACCGAAGGATCAATCCACCCCAGCTCAAATCATGGTTATGATTAGTCAACCTGGTGACCAATCTGAGTTTTAAAACACTAACAGAGTTCAACAAATGGGCTTAAATAAGGTTAATTTTTTTTACGTGGGCAATGCACCCATTGGACGGTGGTGATTGCAAGACTATCATCCCTTCAAACAAATACGAAGCATCCACTGGCTGATGTGAACATAATTGACATGGATTTTAAATCTAAAAACCGTAGTACCGTTATTTAACCAATATGGTGTTGTTACATCCGGAATGAATAATCCACGAAACCCAACTGGGAAGTAAAATTAGACCCTAATCCTATCGAATCTTTCTGGCCTTACATATAATCCTAGTACCTTCCTATTTATGATTTTTTTTTTTTTGGATTTATACTATAAGACCATTTATTTTTTATAGAGATCATAATCATTTTTAACCGTTGGATGTGAAATCCAACAGATAAAAATGTTTTACAACATTTGAGAAATTTTGCTTTGGTCTTTGTACCAAAACAACGAAATGTCCTCAACCACCCGATATCAAATCTAACAATCAATAATGATTGTGATAACAAAAATAAGTAATCTCATTTTACACTTTTCCATTTTTCTGTTTTCTTGCTACTTCCTTTTAATTTAGATTAATTAAATTCAAATTCTTTCATACATAGAAAACCCAATACCTTATCTGCAACCAATATTCCACACACACAGGAGGGAGAGAGAGAGAGAGAGGACCATATGCTTTAGTACGAGGCTCACTTAAACCTAGACTTCTATGCTGCCTGCCCACGATCCTCAACCTTACTGGGAGAAAACGAGCATAATCTACAATGTTACAGAACAAAGATTACATAGTTAAACAGAGCCAGGTTCAATGCTTTTTAGAAACAATATTACAAACATGCTTACATCTTAAAATAAATAGGCTAATATTAAAAAACTCGAAAATGTAAGGTCACTCTCTTTTGGCCTCAAAAGTTCGTTGCTGATACCTCGTGCATCCTTCTCAAAGCTTCACCTTCATTCCTTCTCAACAGGCATTCACAAAGCCAACATCTTCTTTCAAGCCATTACACAAAACTCCAAGAAGCAACAAGAGGAAATTACATCTTGCTAGCGCTTTAGTACCAGTTGCTTCTCTAGATGAGGCCTAATCATCTTTTCCAGCTCCTCAACAGTAGGTGAAGGCTTGTCATCTTGCTAAGATTGGGGGCCCGAAATCCCTTCAGAACTGGGCACCTGTGACTGTGCTTTGTCGATCTGCTGCTTCTTAGCCTCTATTCTCCTTAGCATTGTCGAACTGAGCTTTTCACCACTTGATTCTACAGGTAACAGATCAACCACCTCTATCTGCATAAACCAAAGAATCCAGTAGAACAGTCATTGGTTACTTCTTGTGAATACCATTCAGTTAAAAGTAACCTATTAGCACTATCAGCAAATTCTTCCAAATTTTCAAAAATGTTTTTAAAACATGCAAAAGATTGCACAACTGGCATACTAATCTCACATAAAAGATGAGAACAATAAAAAATAAATTCATATTTCATCTTGATTACCTGGTCCACACAGTCTATAGGTCGCTTACTATTAGCAAACCAAAAATAAAGTAAACCCAATTACCCTAATTCTAATTGATACATAACCAAGAAATCCAGTTGTGTACGAGGGAATAATGTCAGATGTGAACTCAAAGAAAGACCTAGTAAAACTCCAGAAATTAAAATCAGATTCACCATATTGCTGTGCTGTATGGACAAATGCTATAAAGTTAGTCCTAAGTGCATGCATGTCAGTTCCTAAGGGTGATTATTATCATGAAAATGAAGTAGACCTTCTAAGATGCTCCCATTTCCAGAAAAATACAGTAAATGCACGTCAAAAAGAAAAGTTCAACTCGCCTTTAATTGTGACAGACCCTTCTCAGCTCTCCGCTTGTTAACAGATAAGCCACCGGCCAAAGTTTCCTTACTAGCAAAGCACACAAACAGGCCATTAGATTCTCCTTTCGACAGATAACCACAAATGTAGCAAAACTAATCTAGAGAGTAACAGATACAGGACTTCGCGAATCTGACAGGCTGAACCAGCACTCACCACCAAAAATAATAACATTCATGGCAGCACCAGACTGGCAGAGCCCGAGCCCATATTCACTTAGCCCTAGTTTTCTAAAAGTAACCAAAGACATGCCAATGTTTTGAAAAAGTAATTAAAGTGTTCGTTCTTTTAGCTTAGAGCTAGTGATGCATACTTCTGCAGGAGCATCCTACACACTTCCTTCTAGGGAAAAGGGCTACTATGGAGGATTTTCAATCTGAAATTTTGGGATCTCTAGAATAACCAGATAAATATTCCGAAAAAAAAATTTTGATTTTGAGTTCCTATACACTTTGATCTGACCATTCAAAAATTGGATGACCTCGATTCAATCTTAAGACGATGATGTGTGATTTTCTCTTCTTTTTTATATGGAGGTTGGCCTCTAATTTGAGGAGGTTACCTACCAAAAATCAGTGGTCCTAAAAATGTTCTCCAAACAGGGATTTGCCCAAGGGTGTCAATGGATGATGTGCTACCCTAGGAGCACGTAATCTTTTGGCTATGGTTTAATTAAAGGACTCAATTTCATTAGATTGTAATATTCTCTTTAGTTCCTGCAATCATAAGCATACATGGTTTAACTTTGTCAATGAAAAAGGATGAATAATTAGTTAGAATGATACAGAAATCGACCTAAAATATTTATTAAGTATACTACTTAATCAGTACCATCAACACATCAGATTTTGAGCATTATAAACACAGGTTTCTTTTATGAATACCTCGGAAACAAATTCATATGTTTTCATATAATGATCTAAGATGCACTGATATGGATAACAGAAACAGACATGGAGAGCAGGGATATAACATGCATTTCTCAAAATCCAGGACATGGAAATGCTACTAATATCCTATCTGACACATTGATAGTGATGTATTTTACCTTGTATTAAACATAAACATGTGCATCCAACACATTGATATGTGTATGTGAGCACACACACACACATATCATGCATTTTATATTTTCTATAGCTATTTCGCATTATGAGATCCTAAAACCATCTGGAATAAGTGAAGTGTCAACATGCTACCACACTAGTAAAGTAAGCATGTACAAAGCATCCAAGTATCATAGATGATAGACTTATTCAATAACTTACAACATAGTCCATTATGTGTTGAGCTTCAGGGTTGTGGGCAGCCATATTGGGGATTTTGTACAAAAAATCATTACTACATTTATAAAGTCAACCACTTGTCAAAAAACAAATCATACCATACTCAAAATATTCATGGGACTCAAGAAATAAGCAGCCAATTGTGAGTATGCCAAAATCAATTAATCCATGCATAACCCTAAATCCATCATATGACATCAAAAGGAGTAAAAAAGCATAGAAAGAATAACATTAATCCCCTCATGCAGGCCTTAGGGAGTCACCCAATGTCAAGGCTTTTATATGGAACACCAAAATTTCTGTGATAAATGTCCCTTCACTTCTAAGAGAGCCAATTTGAAAGGCAATTTTAGTAATCTATTGCCACACTAGGCAGTCTACGAATTGGCTGCCACATTCCCCTTCATCTCGCTGCAAGTTAAGCAATCCATATAGGATCAAGTTAAGCACTGCTGGTTCAAACTCATAACCCCAATTTTGCAACAACAAGCACTTTCAGTTGAGCTGTATACTTGAACCCCACAATAGATAGAAATGCTGAGATCATCAATTTGATGGAAGGTAGTTCCATGACTTTGAACAAAAAACCAGCTTCATGGATATGATTAGAATTGCAGCAGTCAGTAGATTTCATGCTTCAGAACATACCTGACAATTATAGCATCCAGATTGGCATCTACAATGGATGGGCCATAGGGATCCGTAATGGGTTCCACTTGAACTATCAATTCCGGTCTGATGGACTGAAAAGATTTCCAAGAAGATAACACAAATTTTATAAGACACGCATTTATAAATATTATATAAAAATGTGTAAGTGTGTGTCTGCAAAGGCATGCATATATGTCAGCACTGAGAAGAAGATTTATAGTTCATATCTGATAACAATCATATAGTCAAACCCCAATAGTTGGGATAAGGCTCAGATGATGATGATGATCAGATAACAGTCATATATAGCTTCCAGATAAATTTATATGTGGCATCTTCCTTGTTAATCAATATCATTCACAGCAATGCAATAATACTATGGCATACAGTCTTTGACAAATTGTAACCGATACTCATTTAAGAAGGTCTTTTGACGAGCTTTAGCCACAAAATATATCCAAAGATCTTCATTTTTAGCACCTAAAGATCATTAAAAACTCTACAACAGCGCAACAATAACACTAATAATATTTATACAAACTATTAATATAAACAAATAACAACCCATTCCCTCAATTGGGAATTCCATTCAACTAGAAGCATTGCAGTCCAAGAACCTTTGTAAGATGCATAATATGCGTCAGTCAATAAGGAGACTCCAGATATTGGATTCACCAATAGATGCCTATGTGGCTCCAGCTATCCCACACCCCCTAAATTAGGATCCACAACAGCTGAAATTCATAAAATGTTAAAAAACAAAATGCACAAAAGTAAGACTTTCATTAACTGTTCTCAAAAAAGTAATAAAATCTTGCAAGCCTGGTGCCAACAATATTATAAAAAGTAGGTCAGAGATCAATTTTTTTTGGAAATCCAAACAAAAGAGCATACAGTACACTTTTATAAGTTGACCTGAAATAAAACACCAAACATATATCCGGCATCATAATCAACTTGCGTGAGTTTAATCTAATAAGATCAAATGAGTTACTCGTCAGTCGAATAACTGGTATAGCACCTGGCTCATAACCAACCAAACCACTCGATGGTACCTTAAAATCAACTCACTCTAGTCTGAAGAATTTACATCCCAACAGCCTTTAAGGAGAATGAAGGAGTGACATTTACCTAATAGATATATAACATGATGGATTCTATTAAGAAGTCATAAATATAATTTTCCAAGTTTTGAAACAGTAGATTATGCTTCATTCCCTGGAGCTGGAAAAAAATAGTAGGATATATTCAGTTATTTTGATATGGTACCCATCATCATCATCATCCAAACCTTATCCCAATTAATTGGGGTCGGCTACTTGAATCTCATTCCTCTATTCATATGACATAGGTTTAGAATTCATGATACGATGTGGCAAAGGTTTACACTAGCTGCCTACCTAATGTAACCCTCCTTTACCTAGGCTTGGGACGGGTGAAGGGAAAGTTTAAGGTCCTCACCCTTCTTACTTAGACCTGAGCCTTGTTGTTCAACATTTTATAAAATTCAAAAAAGTCAAATTTGTCCTAACATTCCAGCATGTACAAGATAATGACCTCATTTGTTATATCATGCATAATCAGGATAGTATCATGTTATCACTTGATCTGTGTGGTGTCCATGATACCCTAACATAAACTCATATATGTCAGCCATGAATCATGCATCTCAGGTCCAACTCCTTGTGATGTTGATCTTTATTTGAGCTAAAGATTGAATCCCAGCAGTTTTGACCCGGGTTTGGCCAAAAAATACTACTAGTAAGCATTTCCAACAAATCGATACACCATGATACATAAAATGCAAGAGAACCATAGTTACCAAATTCGACCATCATGGGTAGCGGTCTGGCTCCAAATTCCGGCTTGTGCGATCTGAGGAAGGGATCTCAAGGGGAAAGCAATTTGTGTTTTTGTGGATCGCGATACCCTTTCTTAGGAATCAAGATAATATGAGATATGATTCTATAGTAGTAACCAGGGGATTCTTGATTTTTGTCTCAGGATTGATGTCCAAAACCTTGACACCACTAGCAAATAATGTCTGAGACATGAATATTGATCATGCTTATATAGTGGCTTGATGTGTTCAGTCCAGTGCTTCATAATTTCTATAGAATGCTTTGATGCGCAAAACTCGGACATCATCACAAAACCGTTTCTGATTCTATGCTGTCAGTTCGGATATTTGTTATTTCTGTATATTTAAATCTACAAGCTCCTGATAGCAGTGAAGTAGAAGACAGAAGTAAAGGAAGGCGTTGCCCCAAAAGCTGATGCTCCAAAACTTGAGGAGGCCGCCAAATATAGTGAAGACCCCAAAATAGAGGCTATCCAAAGTACTAAAGTTAAGATTCAGTAAATTCAGAAGTAATTACAACTGAAAGAAGCTTTGAATTGGAAAAATCAGTGGTCAAGGTGGAGAAGAAAGAAGCCACAAAGATAGAGACCCCAACTTTGGTAGAGATGGACAAGGACAGCGAGGTACCTAAAAAGAAACTGTTGCTGAAATTGCTGAGAAGTATTTGTAATGAGAAGAAGTTATTGCATCCGCAAATGAAGTGGTTGCAGAGGGCTGCAAAATGAAGTCACAAAGGAAAATGCTCCAACTTTAGCTCAGAGACCAGGAAAGTCAGTGAGGTTTCAAAAATCGAGAGCATTTGTGGTGCTGTACTTGCTGAGAATTTGGTGGAGCCAGAAGCAGTTGTCCCAGAAAATAAGTGGTTGTTAAGGAGGAAGCAAAAGATGAAAGTGCTCAAAATTGATGCTCCAAAATTAGTTGAGACCACCAAAGTTAGCAAGGTTCGAAAAGAAGAGAGTGAATCTGGCAAAACTAGAGGCCGCTGCCCTAGAAAATACAATGGTTGTGACACAAAGGGGGTAAAAGATGAGGGGAAAGAAACTGATACTCTAAAAGTAGCTGAGAGAACAGTTAACAGTTTCACAAAAAAATTAGCTGAGGTAAAATTAAAATACACTTATATGCTCCTACAAAATGGGGATTGAGTGTAAAATATGAAATATTTAAATTCCCAAAATAAAACAGGATTTTTCAGTAAATCTCCCTAGATAAGATAACCACTTCAAAAGGAATAAATTTGGAAGCTTGAGTTATGCTAGAAATCACTTGAAAAATCTGCCAATAGAATAAGCAATCCTAGTAGGAACAAGCCAAGCCAATGCAAGTGAAGAGGCCGATGAACTTGTCACTTATGCTCAGAATAGATGGGACTCGATAGACCACAATCAAGTCTTCCACCTTCTTGTTAGTCTTATTCTTCAAAGACTCCTGCGCTGCCTTTGGAAACACGTACCACTTGTGGACATGAGCCTTTAGGCTGCTCACTCCTTTTTGTGACTTTTATGACCAAGGAGCTTTTATAATTTGGATTAAGTAATTATCATCAAGGTTTTACAACCTAAAGCCTTTAATGCAAAAATATTTCACCAAATATCAAGCATTTTGCTTTTTCTTTTTCTTTTTATTTTTTTTTGTGCCATATGTCAAGCATCGTGCTACAGTCTGCTCATGAGGATCATTATAGAAGGTGAAAGATGGTGGGTAGCAGTTGCCAAACAGTGCAGGAGAGTAACTAGAGTGTTAAAGGCCTATAAAGCCATTTGTTTGTTTTACATGCATTTTCACATTTAACTAGTAGATGTATATCATTTTTGTCTTTCACCAATTGTAATAGGAACTCTGCTCATGTAGTGCAATATGGCATTGTCTTAGAATGACCATCAAAGAATAAAAGTCAGTCGTGGGGGAAGGGTATCACAAGAACAGTCCTGGGGTGGTTAGGGCTATCTTAAGCAGAGGATGGGGTTTCAGAGGAAGCTAAAGGCTCAGAGCTCCATACCCAATATTTGACTGCCAAAAAAGGAGGAATGTCCATTTCAAACAAGTTGAAATTTAGCCTTCTCCTTTGTAATGATTCCTTGGTATCTATATTCAAAAGCCTAACTGAACCCCCTTCCCCCACCCCAACACACGTTTCATGTGGTACCCACAAAGTTAAAATTTCCTAAACATGTCTCAGCTAATAAACACAAGGAATGAAGTTACTCAAATGCTTCTAGCCACTCGAACTCTGGTGTGTGAGATATCAACCATCGTGTATACTCATAATATGTGCTCGCAAATTTGTTATTACCTGGATATAATCTTCAACAGCCTTCATCCTTGTCTCAATGGGTTGTATAAGATGCACAAACTGTAAAAAGACCAAATCAATCCTTGCATTTTCCACAGAAAAAAATTGAGCAACAAAGCATAATAGCCAAATGCACTCATGCGTGGAATTACACGAACAAAAAAAAAGGATATATCCTCGATCATCCTACTTTCAGGTCAATAAACCACAATTCTTCCTAAGCATTCGAAATTTACCAAGTCATGATATTAGCTGGACCTCAAGAGACATAAAAATTAGAGCACAATCCATAACATCTGCCGATGGAAATGTGATCTTATTCAGGCATAAACACAATATCCTGTAATCGTGCAAAAAAGGCGCAAATTGGCCATCACTCAGTTAAATTTTGAAACTGAAGCAATTACAACAACCCTGCAGGCAGAAATAGTGTGACCACGTGAAGTAGAAAAGTATTATGTCCACTTCAGCAATCTCAATCAGTTACTCAATCCATTATTAATAAGTCATCTCAAAACCATCCAAGACAAGATATTAGTTTCGGCATAGACCCATAAGTTTTTACAATAACATGAGTAGAAGACAAACAAAACCCCTACCTCCTTCTTTACTAGCATCGGCCCCGTACAGATACCAACCACAATTCGATCTCTCGCCAGCTCTGCTGAGACCTAAGAGTAGAAACACACAATTACTAGTGACCAAGGATGAGCAACTGTTACAAACAGCACATGTGCACTTACGTTTACACCAAATCTCTCGTTTTGTTCGTGCACTTCTATATATATATATATATATATATGAAGAGACTAGAAATGCCACTGGCGAAAATGAACAGTATTTTCGCCCATAGGCTTGGCGCATCTGATTTTTTCGGACGCCATGGATTAAAGACCGTCACAAACTTAGCATGTCCGTAGCGGTTTGTCATGGCATAGCAAGTCCGTGAGGGAATTTTTTCAACACAAATTTGACGCAAAATTATAGGGGACCGCCACGGATCCCATAGATCCATGGCGGTTTTTAGGTAAAACCGTCACAGACATAGCATGTCCGTGATGGGGGCGAAATACTGTAGCACTTCGCTTATATATATATATATATATATATATATATATATATATATACTATTATAGTA